AATACGTGACAAAACTAGCAAAAAGTGAAAAGTGGGGTTAATGGAGTTGGGCTGTTTCTAAGATCCTTGCCTTTTCTGGGAAGAGTTAAAATATTAATTTATATGAGGTTTGATATATCAAGAATATGAATACATGTGTTAATTCCTAGGTTAATCATCAAAGGAATTTTTAAAATGTATAATTAGAAAGCTAACAGATGTGGAATACAGAAAAATGAAAACCAATAAAACCAAAGAACAAGAAAAAAGTGAAAACGGAAACATAAGTATGACCAACAGACAGCAAACAGTAAGGTAGTGGATTTATATAAATGATATCAATATTTACATTAAATGTAATGAATTCTCTGAATCAAAGAATGAGTGTCATACTGAATTTAAAAATGTATTTAATGATACCCTATAAAGTGACATAAAAGATACCAAATTTAAGAAATAAATTTTATTTAAAAATTTATAAGATATAAAACTTATTGGAGTGACAGCAGCCAGATGGCCAACTAAAAAGCTCCTAACTATAGGAGCTTCTCCCCCATAAGAAAACCCAAAGCAACAAACAACTATATTTTGCCCCAAAAAACTAAAGGAGTGCAACTGAAAATAAAGTAGTAACAGAAATCCTGCACAGCACAAAAATCCAGGCGCCCGCAGAGAGAAGAGGGAGAAATATTTTGCCTTCATCACCCCATCCCTCAGCTGGGATCAGCCCTACCCCCTAGGACCAAGCCAACTGCATCCTAGTCACTGGTGCACCCTCCTCTTAGAACCGAGCTGAAGTGTTACCCCACCCTTTGAACTACCGGAACTACTGGAGCACAGTCTCACCCCTAGTGCCATAGCCAAGGCAGCAACCCACCCCCAGGCACCTCAGACTCTGGCCCACTGGAGCATTCATGCCCCCAGACCCAGAGCATATGTGGCACCCTGCCACCTGAGGATCTCAAACCTTCTACATACCAAAGTAGTTGGCACCCCTGGTGGCACAGCTGAGCCCTGCCCCAAAGGGACTTCAGGCCTCCTGAACACCAGAGAAGTCTCCCTCCATACCACACACAAGTAAGACAACACCCTACCTCCCAGGGGCTTCAATAATCCAGCATATTAGAGTATTTGTACCTCCTAGCATCACAGGTAACATAATACCACATCCTAAGGGACCTAGGCGTGCCAATGACCCATGTAGCTATGCTTCAGCAGTGCCTTGCATCCCAGGGAATCAAAGTCTTGACTGAGTTATGCCACCTACCCTCCAAGCCCTACAGCCAGAGCATCATGCCTACCTTAACCGACTAGCCTCCCACAGTCTAAGCTACTGAGGCATCCCACCTCTCCAAAGAGTGGAGTCACTGCTGCACTTCTCCCCACCCCTTGAGACCAAACCACAGTGGTGTTTGGCCATTCCTGGGTCTTCGCTGCTGCTACACCTGTCCCCACAAAGCCTGGGCTACTGCCATGCTCCACCATTACAGGGCACATAGTCACCACTGCGTGATTACTCATCTCCTGGAGTCCAAGCTGCTACTGTACCCTGTTGGTCCTGGATCCCGAATTGTGGCTGTACCCTGTTTCCCAGGGACCAAGCCTCTGGAGCACCCCTTCCTCACTGAGTGTGGTACCCTACCCTCCAAGGTAAGAGCCACAGCTACATCCCAGAGCAACAAAACTTGGCTTAGTAGAAGAACTGCATTCACTCATGCCTTGGAGGATGAACCTATGTCTCAAGTCCCAGGTGCTACAGTAGTTTTGCAAGACCCTGAACCCAAGAATCTGACCCGATAGCCACTCTGAATAACTGTGCTATGGATCCCAGTGCCACTGTGAGCCATATCAGATCCAACGTTAAGAAAGATCCTCTCAGCTAAGATCCCCCACCATGAGGAAGACAAAAACAGGAGAATCCATAAAGTCCTTGCCTATAACCTACACAGCCACCATCACTGCCACAAACTCCTTCAGCCTAGACCACTGAAGCTCCCGCAGCCATCTCTAACACTGATCACAACTGAAGAAGCTGTATGAAGTCTGTACAATGCACCCACACAGAACTAGACCCACTGCACCCTGCTGAACCAGCAACCTCAGGCCTATCTGCAGGTAAAAGTCTTCCTCTGTAAAAGTCACTCTTTAATAGTCTTCCTCTGCAAAAGTTTGGAAGGGGCTACCGTACCACTAGATAAGCAGACATCAACATAGGGATACAGAAAACATAATAAAGTAAGGAAACATGACACTGCCAAAGGAACACAATAATTTCCAGTAATTAACCCCAAAGAAACAGAAATGTATGGATTCCTAGAAAATAAATTTAGAATAATACCCCCAAAAATTCAGTGAGATGAAAGAGAATACAAATAGATAATTTAATAAAAATCATCAGGAAAACAATTTAGCTTCTGAATGAGAAATTCAACAAAGAGATAGCTGCCACACATACACAAAAAAATAGAAACAATCATAAACCTTGGAGCCAAAAAAAGTTATTAATCAGATAAAAAATAAAATTGAGAGTTTCAACAGCAGTGTAGATCAAGCAGAAGAAAGAATCTGTGAATTTGAAGATAAGTATTTCGAAGTGACTCTGTCAAAGAAAAAAAAAGAATGAAAAAGAGTTAAGATAGCCTATGGGACTTAAGAAGCACCATTAAGTGAGCAAATGTTCACATCATGAGAATTTCAGGAGAAGAGACAGGGGAAAGAACACAATGTCTATTGAACAGAATAATTGCTGAAGACTTTCCAAGTCTTGGGAAAGATTCAGACATCCAAATCTACAAAGCACAAAAGTTCCCAGATACAACCCAAGCAGCCTTCCTTGACATTATGTAATCAAAGGTCAAAAGTCAAAGACAGTTTTTAAAAGCAGCAAGAATTAATATCCATGATTCTTAGACTATTCAAAAAAAAAAAAATGGAGCTAGAGGTAATACATCCAAATACATTTCATGAAACCCCATCACTTTGACACCTAAACCAGATAAAGAAATCACAAGAAAAGAAAACTACAGAACAATCTTTCTGATTGATGCAAAAATCCTCAAAATATTAGCAAACCAAATCCAATGACATATCAAAAATATAATACTTCATGGCCAGGTAGGATTTATCTCTAGCATTCAAGGCTGATTTAACATATGCAAATCAATAACAAAAACTACATCATCACCTCAACTGATGCAGAAAAAGTATTCAACAAAATCCAACATAATTTCTTGATAAAAACTGTCAACTATTATTCCATAATAAAAGTCATTTATGAAAAACTAACAACAGTCATTTCCCATGATAGTCAAAGGGGAAAAAAACTGAAATCCAGCACAAGGCATGGATGCCCACTTTCATTACTTCTATTCAACACAGTATTAATACTAGCAGGAAGTATTAGCAAGAGAAATTAGACAAGAAGATGATAAAGGGCATCCAAATTGGAAAAGAAGTAAAATCATCTCTATTTGCAGATGATCTGACCCTGTATATAAAAAATCCCAAAGATTCCACACACAAAAACTTAGAATTAATAAAAGAATTCAGTAATGCTCCAGGATACAAAATGGGCACACAAATCAGTAGCATTTTAATACACAAATAACAACCCAACTGAAAAAGAAATTGGGAAAATAACCCAATTGATGATAGCATCAGAAAAAAACCTAAGAATAAATTTAACTAAGAAGGTGAAAAGTATGTACAATGAAAATACAAGACATTGATGAAAGAAATTAATGAAAACACAAATAAATGAAGGGATCGCCCATGCTCATGATCAGATCAATTAATATTGTTAAAATGTCCATACTACCCAAAGCAATATACTGACTCAACATAATTCCTATAAAAATCCCAATAACATTTGTCATAGAAAATTTTTTTTAATCTTAAAATTTGTGTGGAAGCATGGAGACCCTAAAATAAAAAAATAATAAAGTTGAAATCACCCTTTCTGATTGAAAAGTATATAACAAAACCATAGTAACCAAAACAGTATGGTACTGACATAAAACCAGGCACATAGATCAGTGGAACAAAATAAAGAGCCCAGAAATAAGCCCAAACATATATGGTCAAGTAGTTTTTTACAAGGGCACCAACAGGGCACAACAGGGAAAGAATAATCTCTTCAGTAAATGGTGCTGTGAAAACTGAATTTCCACATGCAAGAGAATGAAATTAGACTCTTTTCTTATGCAGTACACAAAAATCATTTCAAAATGAATTAAAAGCCTAAATGTAAGACCAGAAACTATAAAACTCCCAGATGAGAACATAGGGGAAAAGCTCTTAGACGATAACCTTAGCAACGATTTTTGGCTCTCAGATCAAAAGCTAGGGCTACAGAAACAAAAATAAATAAATGAGACTGCATCAAACAAAAAGGTTTCTGCACAGCAAAGGAAATAATCAACAAAATAAAACAGCAGCCTACAAATTGAGAAAAAATATTTGCAAACCATGTATCTGATAAAGGGCTAATCTTCCAAAATTTACAAAGAACTCACACAACTCAGCAGTAGAAAAACAAATAACCCAACTAAAAAATGGGCAAAAAACTTGAAAGAAGACACTTCTCCAAAGAAGACAAAAATCACAAAGAGGTATATGGAAAAGGTGCTCAATATCATTCATCATCAGAGAAATGGAAATCAAAACCACTATGATGAGATACACCTCACTGCTATTTGGATGGTTATTGTCAAAAAGTCAAAAGATAACGGATGCTGGAAAAACATGGAGAAAAGGGAACTCATATACACAGTTGGAAAGAACAAAGATTGATACAGCCATTATGGAAAACAATATGGAGGTTTCTAAAAAATTAAAAATAGAGTTACCATGTGATCCATTTTATAAGCACTTGTAAAAATACAAGAATGTATTTTTAGACAAAATGACTTATACCACCAACAAGGTTAAACCCTCTTAAACTTCACTGTGACTATGACCAGCCCAGCCACTCTCCTGCCATCTACATACAAAATAAAACTTTTCATGAACAGAGTTCTCACCACTTCTTGTTTCTGGGCTTCATTAAGTTTTTCAGTCAATTCTTCCAAAACCCTTTTTGTTTCTGCATCTGACCTAGGCAAACAGAGAATAATATTTTAACTCAGATATCTGAGAAAATATACACAATTAGTGAAATTTATAACATAATAATATGACATTTCATCATACTGCAGTGGTTTGCAAATGTTAGTAAACATATGAAGTACATGGAGGGCTTGGCAAAACACAGACTCGGACTGCTGAACCTTACCCCAAAATTTCTGAATCAGCAAATCTGAGATGGAGCCCAAGAATGTGCATTCTACAAATTCCTAGGTGATGCTAACGTTGTAAGTCTGGGGACCAAACTCTAAGAATCACTGCTATACTAGAATATCACTGTCAATAGCCATGCTGCATTATCTCCCATTTTAAGTTTAAAAGAAAGGAAGAGAGGAGGGAGAGGGAGAGAGAAGACAAAACTTGATCTCACAACCTCTCCCCAGTAATTCGTAATCAAATTATATCAGAAGGTGATGTACAAACTCTGTCCTCACTAACCTATTTCCCATTACCTTTTTTCCATAAAGATAATGGCATGCTGGGCTCGGTGGCTCAGCCTGTAATCCCACGCCTTTGGGAGGCAGAGGGGAGTGGATTGCCTGAGCCCGCGAATTCAAGACCCACCTGGGCAGCAAGACCTCATCTCTACAATAAATCAAAAAAATCAGCCGG